TAATTTTAAGATAATATACATTTCTTCTACTCAGAGCACTCTGTCCAGAAGTAGTCAACCTGGCAAGGAGTTTTGAAATAAGGTTGGGGAGCTGGGGTGAGGAGGGGTGGAAATGTGTGAGTCCCACTGCCTGCCCCAATATCTACTCAATATCTATCTTAATTTTGTAAGATTGTTATCTGTTTTTCACAAATTCTCAAAAACTACATATTTTATTTATAAGTGAATCTAGAAAAACTATTTTCTAATCTTCTTAAAACCATCTAAGAACTAATCAGATAAGGAGAAATTACCAGGCCACCACTTGGGAAAGAATGGGAACCCCAAGAACTAAGTCTAGCATTAGGAACAATTTTTACCATGAAAATGTTTGCTAATAATTTAGAAAAAAATAACTGAGAGGGTAGTCTATGCTTTTGACAGCCTCTTGGCAGTAAAAGGACAAAAGTCAGAGTCTTTGGCCCATAAAAGATGGGAGTCAGGTAAACTATCCCTTCCAATGTGCTTAGGATCCCTAGAATTAAAGTTAAACTAACCCTCCTTCAGACTATACTAAAAAGCCATACTTTTTAAAGCAGTCTCTTTATGGTAGATATTGTTTTATAATTATTACTAAAATATACTTCTTTAATTATCATAATTGTTCATATCTTCAAACATATAACAACTTCTTTTCATAGGAATTACTAGAAAAAGCATTTCTAGGTCTAAGAGTACATACACTGTGTATTTCATTATTGCCAAATCATCTTTCTTAAGGTTGGGAAAATTTAAATTCTTAAATATGCATGAATGTTCATTTCATCACCCTTAACAATACAACATATGATCAGTCTTTTCTAGTTGGATAGGCAAAAAAATCCATCTATTTTAATTTGCATTTGTAATAGTAACAAGTTTATATATCTTTTAAAATCTATTTGAACCAGGCATGGTGGCTCACTCCTGTAATTCCAGCCTAGGGGTTTGAGACCAGTCTCTACAATAAACCAAAAATTATCTGAGTGTGGTGGTGCACTCCTGTGGTTCTAGTTACTTGGAAGGCTGAGGTGGAAGGATCGCCTTAGCCCAGTGAGTTGAGGCTGCAGTGGCCATGAGCCTGTCACTGTACTCCAGCCTGGGCGACAGAGTGAGACTCTGACTCAAATATATATATATTTTTATATAAATATTGACACTCAAGAGTCTTATAAGTCCAAACATAACTTTTATATACTCTTTTTGGTATATTACTGGCTTGCAAGAGCACTGTATACATTAGGACTATTACCCCCTTGTTTGAAATAATTTTCCCTAGTTTGTCATTTTGTTTAATCTTGCTCTTGGTTCTAATTTTAAAAAATTTTTCTTTTGCATTTTTCTTGAGCCCTTCCATCTTCTCTTTTCTTTGTTTTCTTTTCTTGTTTTTTTTTTTTTTTTTTTTGAGTTGGAGTCTCACTCTGTCACCCAGACTAGAGTGCAGTGGCACACTCCCGGCCACTGCAGCCTCAACCTGCGGGGCTCCAGCAGTCCTTCCACCTCATCCTTCCAAGTAGCCAGAACTACAGGCATGCGCTACCACGCCCGGCTAATTTTTGATTTATTGTAGAGATGAGGTCTCACCAAGTTGCCCAGGCGAGTCTCGAACCCGCAGGCTCAGGCAGTCCACTCACCTCAGCCTCCCAAGGCTCGACTTTGTTTTCTTTATAGCAAAAAATTTGAATGAATTAAATGTGTACTTACTGTCTCTAGTTCTTTTTCTTGTGAGTCTCCTTCAAACACACATTCATTCCTATCATTTGACCAAATCAATTTTTGTAGGTTATAAATGACCTCTGTGTCACCAAATTCAGTGATGAGTTCTAGTCCTTATCTTACTCTTTGTTAATTACTTCCTCCTCCTCTAAATATCCTTGTCAATTGTCTTTCAGTGTTCCATATCTGCATCTTCTAGTCTTTCTTTTACCACACATTTTATTCCTCTTCAGTCTCCTTTGTTTGTTCCTTTTTATCTCTTCAATTTTTTTCAATGTTGGAATGCCTCAACTCCTAAACCTTGAGACTCTTTGTTTCTGCATTCAGCCAGTGGTGATTACATTCAGGTTCATAGGTTTAAATCTCTATCTGACACCCAAATTTATATCACTAACTAGGATCAGTACTGTCCAGCAGAAATATAATACAAACAATATATGTGATTTAAAATTTTCTAGCAGCCACATTTAAAAAGGCAAGATACAGGTGAGATTAGTTTTAATGTTTTATTTAACCCAGTATTTCAAAAATATTTCAACTATAATCAAATAAAAATGTTAATGACATTTTTCACTTTTTTCCTATGTTAAGTCTTTGAAATCTGATGTGTATTTTACCCTTACATAGCACATCTCAATTCAGATTAGTCACATTTCAAGTGCTAAATAGCCACATGTGGCTACTGGACATTGTAGCTCCAGGTTACTTTAGTGATCTCCAGACCTCATGTCTCCATTTGAATATCTAATTTATATTTCAGAACTAACCAGTTTCTTTCACAACTCACATTCATTTCCACAAAAACAAATCCTCTCAGTTCAAACCTTAATAGATCCAAAATCTAATCACTTCTTACCTCATCTGCTGCAGACACCGTTGTCCCAGCTGTCACCTCCTCACTGCATAGGTGTATTGCATGGCTCTTCTCCTTCAGTTTTTTCAAATCTCACTTTATCTGAGAAGTGTTCCTTAACTACCTTATTTAAAGTGCAAACCCCTCCTCCTTACACATATAACTGGATATCCACATAAATCAGTATTCCCTTATCTCTTCTATGCTTTATTTCTTGTGTTAATTTTTAAGGTAGTCTGTCATTGTTTCTCTGCTCCAAGACGGTTTGATAAGAATTGATATAAGATGTATTTTTTTTTAAATTTTAGATTCAAGGGGTACACATGCATATTCGTTGCATGAACTTACTGTGTAGTGGTGGGAATTGGGTCTCAGGTGGGTCTCATGTGATTTTAAATTTTCCATTCCCCAGATAGTAAACATTGTGCCCCATACTGGTGTCCCCAGTGTCTATTATTTCCATCCTTGTTAAGATGTATTTTTAATGGTCTTTTTCATTTTTTCTGTGGTTGATTCTCTGTTCACCTGTTTTTGAGTCTTTCTTTAAAAATTTGTTTTCTTAGAAAATAACCTGTTAAATTTTAACATCATCCACCAGCAGTATGTATGGCAATCTCAATTTTTAGAAGTACCTCTTTATTTCTTTTTAAAATGCTCCTTTTCTCATTGCTGATTTTTGTTTCAGTCCTCTCTTAGTGAGATTGGTCTGGTATTTATCTACTTTAATTAAAAGAATAGCTCTTGATTTTATTGATCATTTTTACTGTTTTTAAATTGGTAATTTTTGTTTTTGTCTTAACTACTAATTTTATCCTCAACTTTTTTGGTTTATTTTTAGTTCTTTTCTAGGCTCTTGAGTTGACCGTTTAATTCATTTATTTCTAACTTTGTTGAATAATAAACATCTAAAGCTGTCACTTCTTCTTTTTTTTTTTTTTTAAGTTGGAGTCTGACTCCATTGCCCGGGCTGGAGTGCAGTGGCACACACATGGTCACCCTAGCATCGACCTGCTGGGCTCAGGCGATCTTTCTGCCTCAACCTTCCAAGTAGCCAGAACTGTAGGCGTGCACTATCATGCCTGGCTAATTTTTCGATTTATTGTAGAGATAAGGTCTTGCCAATTTTACCAGGCTGGTCTCGAACCCCTGAGCTCAGACAATCCTCTCGCCTCAGCCTCCCAAAGTGCTGGGATTACAGGTTGAGCCACCGAGCCTGGCCAGCTGTGACTTCTTTTGGCTGTAACTTTGACTGTATCTCATGGATTTTGGTAGTCTGTGTTCTTATGTTACTAATTTTTTTCAATTATCAAAGTTTACACAATTTATTAAGTGGCAAAGTCAGGATTTAGAGCTAGACAGGCTATCTTTATGGAATGAGATCTGCTTTATAATGTCTTCTCATTGTAGAACACAAAGGGTGAACTTAGATGGTTTTTTTCAGGATCAATTATGAAATAGTTTATTAAGAATTGAGAGAAAATCAATTTATTTTTTTCAAATTCTTCAAGGACCATTCTAATACCTGATCACCAGAACTCTACTGATGATACCTTAGTTTTTTGGGAGTATGGACAGTAAAAATAAGTAGAGTCCAGAGACTCAGAATGACTTTGTGAGTTGGCTGGACAATTTTTTTCTTTTTCTTTTTTTTTGAGTCGTAGTGTCACTTTGTCACCCAGGCTGAAGTGCAGTGGCACACTCATGGCCACCTCAGCATTGACCTGCTGGGTTCAGGCAATCCTTTCACCTCATCCTTCCAAGTAGCTGTAACTACAGGCGTGCGCTACCACACCTGGCTAATTTTTTCATTTATTGTAGGGATGAGGTCTCACCAAGTTGCCCAGGCTGGTTTTGAATCCCTGGGCACAGGCAATCCTCTCACCTAGGTCTCCTAAAGTGCTGGTATTGCAGACTTGAGCCATTGTGCCTGGTCTGGACATTTCTTATGCTAGTCCCCTTTAGGATCATTCATGTGTTTATTGGGGTTTCTTGGTTTTTCTGTTAGTGACTAGCTTGGACTTCCTCATGTGGCACCTGGGTTCAAAGAGTCATTGTATAGATATCCTGATTACCCTGAGTTGATTCCCCCAAAATAGATATTTAATATATAATAAAAAGGGCCATTGTCATTACTTTTTAAAAACAGGTTTATTGAGGTATATTTTATTCATTTCAGTGATTTTTAGTAACTTTATCTTGGAAATTTTAAGAGTATGCTTTGTCTGTCATTTATGTCAATTCATGCTTTTGAAAAAGTTACTCAGATGTTCTACCAGTTTTATTGTTTATTAGCCCTCTGATACTAGAATCTTTAACTATAACTGCTATTTTGTCAGATTCTTCTTGTATTTCTAATCATTTTTAAAAAATATGATGCCAAGCATAATAATAGCTTAATATTTACCTTTTCTAGAATATATATCCTTGAGTGATGCAGGCCTCTGCAGTGGTGGAGACAGCATCTGGTAAAGGCTACCATGGTAATGGAGGAAACCTGCAAGAAGGTGAGGGTCCAGGCCAGTTGCCTAAGTAAATTCTGGGTGGAGAGGAGTGCTAAATGTAATTATGTCAAGCAGTTTCCCCTCCAGTGTTGCTACTTTTTAAGCCTTCCTTACAGTAAAGTGGTAAGTATAAGCGTATTTTTAACTTGGAAAATTCACTCAGGTGATTTTTGGTGGCTATGGGTAGTCTAGGAAAATAGAAGATTTAGGGAAGGGAAGGGAAGCAGGAAAAGAGGATTTCGGCTGGCTAGGCTTTCAGGAACTGCTGACATATACACTTGCCCTCAGGGTAGTAAATGGAAAGCTTGAACAGGTTTTTTTCTTCCCAGATTTTCTAAGGAAATTTCTTTTTTTTTAGTAATAGTAGAAAGAAAATAAGAAATAGCAAGAGCATAAAAAGCAAAATCACCAAACTTGATGTGCTTATGAATATATGTGACTTAAACTATTAAGAGATATTCTAGATTAAAACAAATTCCATCCTACATTGTTCATGAGACATATTTAAAATAAGTGAACTTAAAAATCTAGGGTAATGGTATTAAAGAATATAATCAATGTCAAAAGCATTATAAGAAGATACAGAAGGCCATTTTAAAGTGATAAAATGATACAATTATGTTATCAGTCATGGACTCTAATGGAATAAGCAGAGTACTTTCTTATATACATTAAATGCTGGAAATCTAAAGAAAAGCTGCTAGAGATTGGATGTGATCATGGTTCTCTCTCAGTAAATTCCAATGGGATTTTTTAATGCAATTCAAAATGGTTCCCCCAAAAAGAACTTTTTGTCTAGTGAACATAAAACAAATTTTAAAATAAAGGAAGACACTTAACCTAGCAGATATAAAAATATCCTATGATGCTATAATAATTAAAACAGTATAATACTGTAGTACAAAAAGATGATAGGTTAATGAAACAGACAGAAATAAATAGAAGTAGACGCTTAGAAAATTATTAAACAGAAACAAGAGGACTTCAGAATATGATAAAGATGCTATTTCTACTCAGAAGGAAAACAATGGATTATTCAGTAAATGGTGTTAGAACAACTGACCCTCCATTTTAGAAGAAAATTAAGTTAGAATCCTACCTTATGCTAAGAGAAAAATACAGGCTACATAGTATAAAAAGACTGTTACATACAAAAAATTAGAATAAATTATAGGAGAATATTTTTATAATTATTTGGTAGGGAAGGCTAAAGATACAAAACCCAAAATCATAGAGGAAAAAACTAATACATTTAGCTAAATAATCTCAAAAACTTTGATATTAAATGATACTATAAGAAGTTAAAGCCAGCTGAAGTGGCACATGCATGTAGTCCCAACTACTTGGGTGTCAGAAGTGGGAGGACTGCTTGAGCACAGGATTTTGAATCCATTCTGGGCAATATAGCAAGACCTCATCTCTTTAAAAAAAAAATTAAAAGATAAGCAGTAAACTAGAAAAATTCACTTATATTATAAATGTGAAAAACAAAGCATCTGTATCCAGAATGTATAAAGAACTTGACACATCTCCAACCCTATATTTATAACAACTTACTGGACATTTGCTTCTGGGGTATCTTATCACTAATCTCAAACTCCACTGACTGGAATTAACTCATTATCTTCCCCCTCTTCCTCACTTTTCATCTTCACCTTCTAAATCTAATCTTCATGAAGTAACTCTCTTTAGCTCTGAATATTCCCATTCAACTATAGAACCAAACTGTAAGCCTTAGCATTATCTTAGAGTGATGTTTGGACAGGTATTGGCCAACTTGTGAGTCATGAAATTAGTTTAGCCAATTGTGGTCATTTTGTTTTTGTTTTTGTTTTTTAATGAAATGAAATAAGATAAAATAGAAAATAGCAGAATACATTGGATATGGAGTAATTATTGTTTTGTAAATTTTGTTTTACTTATGCACATATGTGTGTGTGTACTGAGTCATGATATTAAACATGTTTCCAGTTGTGGTCTTGGTTTTAAAAAAAATTGAAAACCGCTGATCTCTCTCTTCCTCTTACTACCATTTCCAATCAGCCACCAAGACTTGTCAGTTGTGGAACTCTCATACCAGTCTCTCCATCAGTACTGCTTCTACACTCTTTTGGTAGCTGCCTTTACTTTCCTCTTTTGGACCTTCATTTTAACTGTTGCCAGAGCTGCCTACAACTCAATTGTAGTCACCTGACCACCCTTTTAAGAAGTGTTCTGTTGTCTTTTCTTCCCTTAGAAATAAGAGCCAAGGCTGGGTACAGTGGCTCATGCCTATATACTTTGGGAGGCCAAGGCAGGTGGATTGTTTGAGCCCAGGAGTTTGAGACCACCCTACCTGGACCATGTCTGTACAATAAACCAAAAAATTAGCCAGTCATGGTGGTGTGTACCTGTAGTCCCAGCTACTACTGATGCGGAGGTGGAAGGATCACTTGAGCCCTAGAGGTTGAGGCTGCTATGAGCTATGATCGTCGTGATTATGCCACTGCACTCCAGCCTGGGTGACAGTGAGACTCTGACGCAAAAAGAAATAGCCAAACTTCTTAGCGTATCATAAAAGTCCTCTTTCAGGTCACAATTCCTGTTACTCCCATAGATCTCTTTCACTCCAGACAAGTTGGCTTACAGTTTCCTAAAGAAGCCACGTTCTTTCTTTTTCTTTTTTTTAAGAAACCACGTTCTTTTATGCACCCCGCTGTACTTGTTGGATTTGCCTAAAATAAATTAGTATCTATTTTGTTTCAATATACTTTTTAAATATAAAGTTCCTCTGAAGCCTACTTCTCTTTCTTCTGAAGCATTTACGTGCTTCATCAACACAACTCTGTCATCTTTTTTTTATTACATTTTTGTGTGCTTATCTGTCACCTTTATGAAAGTCATAAGTTATTTGGGGCAGCACCCATGTCTTCTTTTTCTTTGTTTTTGCAATGCCTAGGACTGGCGTTAGGAGGCACTTAAAGATTTCTTAAATAATTTTATTTTTAAAAATTTCTTATTAGACCTTTTTACAAACAGTAGCTGCCCTATAAATTGTAAACTTCTTTCCATTGAAAGAATTCAAAAAGAATCTTGACTGCTGTTTTAGCTTGAGCTACCATATCAAAATCCAATAAACTGAGTGGCTTAAACAACAGAATTTATTTTCTCATAGTTCTGGAAGTCTAAGAGTAAAGGGACAACCTGATCAGGTTTTGGTGAGGGGCCATCTTCTGGCTTATAGATCCCTGACTTCTTGGTGTGTCCTCACATGAGAGAGAGGGAAAACAAGCTCTCATGTCTCTTCTTACAATGGCACTAATCCTGTCATGAGGGCCCTGCCTTCGTGATTTCACCTAACATAATTAATTACCTCTCAAAGTTCCTATCTTGAAATATTGTCATGTTATGGATTAGGTTTCAACATAAGCATTTTGAGAGGACACAGTTCAATGGCAGTTACCATAAGGAATGTTTGTCATGGATAATGTAAAAAGTTTTTCTGCACTGGGAAGAACTTGGGCCATATCATGTCTAAGGATTTTTCCTAGTGTTTAGATTCTGTGGTTTCTGTTAATGTTTTATCCTTTTTTTTTTAAAACCAGATAAAGCTTCTAATCGTGAAGAAAATATATCATCTTACAATGATTGTGATGAAGTTAAATGGACTTTTCCTTATGATGATCGGGATTCCTTGGCACCAGAAAGAGATAATTACAAAGAAATAAGCAATACTGACAAAACAGACTTATTGGAGCTTTCTTTTTCAGCAAGCCAAGATACAAACAGAGAGAGTACTCACTTTCAGTCGAGTGAGTTTCAAGGCAGTACTGACTATTTCTTGAATGAAACATACTCTATCTGTTATTCAGAGTCAAAACTAAAGAAGGAAAATCTTGTTCTTTTAAATTCAGAATTAGATCCTGAAATGCAGAAGAAAGAGGAGGTGTTTTTTGATATTTTGGAACATCAAGATAATAAGACTGTTAGCTTAGAAAGAATCTACAAGATTTCAGATGCCAATTATAAAGAAACTGCTGAAGATATGCAAAAGCATGATACAGATGAAGACTCACAGCAGGAATATCACAGTGCAGAAGAACAAGAATATATAAGTAACCATTTATCTTTTGACCAAACAAATACATTAAATATATCTACTCTGGAAGTTGTTGAATTAAGAAATTCAAATTGTGAAGTTAATTGTGCTGGCAATTTAGAAGATAATTATGCTCAGTTGGAAAGTGGTTCTGTCATTTCTTTAGATTCACTTGATGTTTATGGACAAGAAGATTCACCTCATGTCTCCAAATTTCAGAATTCTATTATGTTAAGAGAATGTCATGAACCAAAGCATGAGAAGTGTAAGGAGCAGGAGACTAGTTTAATGTACCACACAGTATTTGATGGCAATGTACTAAGAAGCAATTCTCTTGGAAACCAGGAATCTCAATCTAAAAGTGGTTCCCTGAACCCTCAAAAAGCATTAAAAGCTGAAATTCATACTGATAAAAGGAAATCTCAAATAAGTAAAAGTAAAGATTTTTATAGAAATACAATTTTTGAGAACAAAATATTACAGCACCTTGAAAATTGTAGTACGTTACCACAGGACAAAACTTTAGAGACATTACTTCTACCTTGTAAAGATGGTCAAACATCTTGGACCTCTGTTTTTGATGATTCAGTAATTTCTGCCTGTGGATATTCATATTACAAAAGCCTACCAAACACCCCTGACCCAGCCTTAGGTTTTTCTGTTACTCTACCAAGGATTGCAGTCAACGATAATCAGACAATAAAAGATAGCTCGCTAAAAGTTGCTAGTAGCAGTGCCACAAATAAAACATACTTTCACAATATGGAAGGAACATCTACTAAATCAGTGACAGATGCAACAAGTTGTACAGTCACTGTTAATCAGACAGTGGATGTCAGCACTGATTTTAGGGCTTGTTTTACAACCAGCAGGGCTACAAGTGCAAGATCTTCTGTAATATCTACATCAAGCAACACAGAGATAACAATGATGAATAAAAAACGGCCTGGCGAATGGCAAAATGAGAAACAAAGAAGTGTGGCTTGTAATACAGATTGGTCATATGGCCGAGATTGTGCAGATACACAGATGGCTATGACAAAAGAATCAGGAAAATCTCACTCAGTTGATAGTTTAAAACTTAAAGGAGATTTTCTAAATAAGGTAAATTAATATGATTAGTAATATTTTATTTAGCTTTATAAAGAGAAAGTGTTTGCTAATGTAAATGTTTTTGGTTTATTGAATCATCTTGAGACTTTTGTGAAAAAATGCTGGGTGAGGAAAAAGGATATCTTGTGGTAGCTGTTGCCACAAATTCCATTAGAAGTTGAATCTTACAATTTTTTTTTTTTTGGAGTTGGAGTCACCAGTCACCCAGACTGCAGCCTTGACCTATTGGGCTCCGGTGATCCTTCTGCCTTGGCCTTCCAAGTAGCTGGAACTACAGGCGTGTACTACCACACCTGGCTAATTTTTAAAAAAATTTTATTGTAGAGATGAGGTCTCGCCAAATTGCCCAGGCAGGTCTCGAACCCGTGGGCTCAGGCAGTCCACTCACCTCAGCCTCCCAAAGCGCTGGAATTACAGGCTGAGCCACTGAGCCCAGCTGAATCTTACAATTTACTAATATGGAACTCCAGGTGGTAACCTATGGTTTCCCATATATTTATAATTTAATTTTTAAATTATGCTTTCAGGATTCCTTGGAATTAAGAAAAACATTTGATATCATAGACTTAAAGAAACATCCTGAGAGGTACGTCAAATGCATAAGTTTGCAGATGCATGTTAGGGGAAAAAATCCAAATGGTGTAGCATATTTAACCATATAAAATCATAGCTAAAGGAGACTTTAAGAAATCATATGTTTCAGCTATTTACCTTCAAACAAATAAATATCAAAGCAATATCGACTATTAAGGCTCCTCACTTACTGAGATTTCAGTCTCATTTCTTTAGAAACTCATGGCGTCTTATCTTGTTCAACCTAGACCCATATTAATTAAATTTTCCATTTTATTCTGTAGACCAAAGCAAAATAGCATCTTTGGAAAATATTATATATGTGAAGAAGTAAGTAGCTAGAGTATGTCACTGGAATATTTTAATTGATTGTGTAATTTGGTTTGCATGTAATAGATACCCTTAGAGAAATGTCTAAGAAGCCAAGTTAGTTGCCATGCTCTGAGTACATTTGCTTTTTCCTTCATTCATTCTTCATTCATCTAATAAGTTTAATCTAGTATCTCAACTTTATAAAATTAAGTAGAATAATTGGTTTTCAGAAGCAGAAGTATTAAGAGCAGCTGTACATGACAATTAGTAACAAGGGAAGACCTCCAAAAACTAACTCTGAAAAAAACATAGTGGCATAGGGATTTTTGATATAATAGCACAGCAAAGTATTTGTTATATTAATGATCCTTAATTACTAGGAATGTGTAAACTATCTTATGTTTAAAAGATAATATGTTTTAAGAAAAAATGTCATCCAAAATGCTTATAACTTTAAAAAATCTTGGCCAAAGCTTGATTTAGGTTGAAAAATTCATTAATTCTGGATATAGTCATTACCTTAGATTGGAACCCTTTTTTGGGAGAAGAGGGTATGAATTTGATACTAGTTTACAAGATTTCTTGATTTTTAGAAAGAATATATTTAGCTTTGACTCAACATTCTTGTTTTTTGGAGCTGTTATGTGTTCCTATAGCCTCTCCATATTTAGTAGAAATAGAATTAAACTTAATAGGAAAATACGTGAAGTTTAAACTCTGTTCCTAGAAATATATCGTTACTGTAGAAAAATGTTTAGGATTTTACATAATCCTATCTTTTATTTTAAAGGGAATTTCAACTTTCTAAAGAGATGGAGAAGAATGTGCCATCGATGTGCTGTCAGAAAATAATGCAGAGAGCCATAAAAGCAGAGCTGCACCTTTTAAATGTTCACTATCAGATGTGTCGTCACCATTGTTGTGATATTTACAAACTTGTAATGAAAAATAGGGAAGGATTAAATAGGTGTTTATTAATTTAAAATGTCTTTTCTTGGAAATTTGTCACTAGCTTTAAGTTTATTCTGATAGTTTATTTCATTTTCTTTTTTTTGAGTTATAGTCTCTTGCCCAGACGAGTGCAGTGGCACCATCATAGCAGCTTACCACAACCTTGACCTCCTGGGCTCAGGCAATCCTCCTCCCTCAGCCCCCTGAGTAACTGGGACTTTAGACATGTACCATCATGACTGACTAATTTTTGTATTTTTTTAGAGATGAGATTTTGCTATGTTGCCCAGACTGGTCTTGAGCTCCTGGGTTCAAGCAATCTGCCTGCTTCGGCCTTTGAAAATGCTGGGATTACAGGCATGAGTCACTGTGTCAGGCCTAATTTTCATTTTTGAAGGGTAAAATGAGTAGATTGTTAACTGGATTTGTTAGCTGACCTAAGGGTAATAATAGACTAAAAAGCAATACATTTGAATTTCATAGAGGAGCAATAGTGCATGGTTGAGATGATGACTCCAGTGAAAAGACAAATTTGACATTTTATTATAAAGTCCAAGGAAGGATGAAGTCAGAGGATTTTGCATGACATCCTGCCACATTCTCTCTGGCTTATGTGTTGAGGGTTGTTTGTACTGCCCTTAGGAAAACACATTTATGGTGGTTCATTTTCTTTTACTCAATGCTGAAAAGAAAAATATAAATATCTGGTACAATTAGAACTCAGTGTATAACATATTAGTGTTAAATATTTGACTTGGGCCTAAATAATTGTGTTTTGTTAACTTAATTTTGAACAGGAATTTATCAAGTAATTCTAAGAAGGAATTAGGATCAGCACTACTATCTCTTTTGAGAGATTTAAAAGTGAGATATGTGAGTTTGAAAGAAAAGATATACAAGGGCATACCACTGGAAGAGCTGCCCCCACTGTCAGTAGAATCAAAATTATTATCTACCTTCTCTACTTTTGCTTCCAGGGTATGTATATATGATTCAAGAATACAGATTTTTACTTCATTTACACAGAAAATATTTTAAACAGATTTTTTTCTCATTTTCTTTTTTTCCAGCTAATGAAAGAAGAATCACATGTGTGAGTTATGATTTAATCTAATTTAGAAATTGTCAGTTCTTAAAATTTTTTAAATTTAACTTTAAATGTTCTGTTTTGGTCACCACTCAAAGCATTGATAAATGTTTTAATGAAATGTTTATCTTTTTATTAGTACATAATATCTGTACATATTTATGGGGTACATATAACATTTTATTACATGTATAGGATGTGTAATGATCAAGTTAGGGTATTCAATATATCTTTACCTCATGTATTGATCATTTCTTTGTGTTGGGAACATTTCAAGTCCTCTCTTTTAGCTATTTTGAAATATAAAATACATTGTTGCTAACTATAGTCATCCTATTCTGCTAACAAATATTAGATCTTGCTCAACCTGAAGTGTTTATCTGTTTAGCTTTTCAGGAGCAGATTCTGAATTAGGTAATCAAAATGCGGGTGATGCTGACATATCTTCAAGCCTAAAAAAGACACTCTCTCAAGTAAGATTTTTTGAAAGTTTATCAGTGTCTTTATTTTTATGACTTAAATAAAGTAAATTATAATTTTCAGAAACTCTAACATCCTTCTTTTCATTTGAACTGTCTTGCTTTATGTGCTACCATTTGAGAGACATAACTGATTAGAAGAAATGTAATGTATTTAACTTAGTCTTGATCAAACAAATGTCAGCAGTGTACATTGTGTAGAGTGACCATAGAATTTGTTCTCAAACCAGGAGACTTTTGAGATGAAAGAGAGTAATGTTAATAATATGCCATGAAAATAGGTATAAACCTGGATTGTTCGGGGCAAACCATAATATATTGTCCCCAACATATTGAGCCAGTATGATTAAAACCAGTATCTTGCATCTTAATCTCATGAGGGTAAAGCAGTATTTATTTTAGATAGGGGAAAGTTTTAATTTCTCTTTTATTGAAATGATGAAAATAAATTTTAAATGACTGATATAGGTTTTCTCATTCTTTCTTGTTCCCCAAATAAATGTTTGTTCTATGCCAACCAAGAAAGATGATTTAATCTATCTAAGGACACTGCAAATTGTGATGTGTTGCAGTAATATAAGTTGTATTCTGTTATCAAGTGACAAGACAACAGAGTAGGAAAACTGAAGTTTATTTCTTCTTTTCTGACTTTGGTCTCAACCCTGAGGTTTCATTATTTGGATGGTCTTAATTCCCCAAGGTGAATTCCAAAGTCAAGAGTGGAATACTTGACTAATATATATTCCTTTCTACTAACATAAATGATTAAAAGTAAATTACTTTAACAGAGTATCTATTCTATTGTTAATTTTAAAAAACTTCAATTATCCACAAAGAAATAACAGATTCAAAAGTAGATTTGTATGTATTCAAGTTTCTTACACAGTTTGTTAAACAATCTGTGCATTTAATGATGGATGATATTCTTAAGAATTTTATTTTCACTCTCATGTTAGTAGTGGTATAGCCTGCTTATTTAATAAATTATCTTATTTAATAAATTATCTTTACAAGTACAGGATGCCGGTGTAACAATTTTTATAATCTGACTTTTGGCTATAAAACAATACATATTTTAGGTTGGGATTACATTTTAATGTTCTCTCATTAAATTAACTGGTTATTCATGAAAGCCAATATAGTGTATATAGTGTCTCTAAATTCCAGCCATTCCTGAACTATCTTCACAATTTACCATAGTCCTATATTACCTATATTGTTACTTTGTATTTTTCTTTAAATGATTCTCCTTTTTACATAAATTTAAGTGTAAAGACTAAATCACTTACATATAGGAGATCAATATTCTTATAAATAAAAGATACATAAGCATACACTAAATTAAATATATAACTATTAAATGTTAATATGATAAATATTTATTTGTATACATGCAACTATTATTTGAAGTACTTTTCGTGTGTATGTGCCTCACTTTTCCAAATAGTGTTAGCACATAGTCACTATACACAGACTGGGTTCAAATTTTAATTCTTTGAACTGTGTAACGTGAAACAAGGTACTTGGATTCTATTTTCCCACCCATCTAGTCAGGTTGATAATGATTTTTCTCTTATAGGCTTTATTATTGTGAGGGCTAAATAAGGCCAGTGAAGGAGTAACTGTCACATAGTTAGAAAGTAATCATTGTTAATCCTTATTTATTGTTTTTATTACCTTGATCCTCAGATGTCTTTATTACCTGACAATAGTCCTAAACAAGATACATCACCCCAGAAAGAAGGGTTAAAAAATGGTGATATAAATGTAGACTTTAGCCTGCTGAAACTTGATGATAAAGGTTAGTATAAAAATATATTATCTTGTACAGTTTCCAGAAAACAAATGTTTAAAATATTCCTTGTGTTCATTCATTAATGAAAATACCTATTTTTAATTGACTAAATGGCATTGTTCTGGTTACAAGTGTTGTTTATTCTTATTCTACTTGACATTGTTAAGGTCACCTAATAGATCAGATAAGGCCAAGTAATAATATGGATTTTTATTATTCTGGTTTATGTCTCCAATAGGAAAATTATTCCCTGTATCTAATTTATATCTCTGTAAATTGTAATTTTTTTAGTTTTGTCCTCTATGAAAAGAGATTATGATCATTCTAAAAATATAATTAATTTAATTTTAATGAAATAAAGAGCTGCAGCACTGCCTAACCTTTTTAAAAATGTTTCCAGGCCAGGCTCCATGGCTCAGCCTGTAATCCCAGCACTTTGGGAGGCTGAGGCGAGTGTATTACCTGAGTCCACAGGTTCGAGACCAGCCCAGGCAACTTGGCGAGACCACATCTCTACAATTAAAAAAAAAAATTAGCCCAGCGTGGTAGCAAGTGTCTGTAGTTCCAGCTACTTGGAGGGCTGAGGCAGAACGATCACCGGAGTCCAGCTGGTCAACACTGGAGTGGCCACTGCACTCCAGTGTGGGTGATGGAATGAGACTCCAACTAAAAAAAAAAAAGTTTCCAATTATTCTGTATATAAAGACAATATGTCTTTATGCCAATACACAACAATTCAAAAATCAGAAAAGTAAAATTTTAATAAGCTGGGAATCGGTGTTAATTAAAAGAAAACTAGAAAGCAGGTCACTCAGACCAAAAATAACTTGTATTCAGGGTCTGCTGAAAATTCCTTCTCAGAGAATCTTTGTGCTTGGTTTTCTTATTTTGCTAACATTTATCTTTAGATTCATACATAAACTAGAAGTCATAATAATATTGACTAATCCATGTTTTTAGATAACTTTTTAGAGGGTTAAACGTTGTATGTAATTCGTAGCTCATTGTATTCAATTTTATAGACTGCAGAAATTACCAAGAAATAACTGAAGACTGGTTTGATGCTAAAGAGAGCCTGACAGGAGTTGACCTCTCAGGAATACAAGAAAATCAAATGGAACAAGACAGATGGAATCTGAAGTTTACACTAGGTAGTTCTTAATTTACAAAGAAATTCTAACCTAGCTTATTTGTAAAATAGTTGTGTTGGGCAACTAAGCTGCTTCAATATTTTATTCCTGCTTATGGCTTCTCTTTATCAATATAAAAAATGAGAAAACTGTTCAGTTGGAGTTTAATTTTTTAAAAGAGGTGAAAACTGCTAAAAAAAACTTAAATCCAAGATTTAGTTAGCAGGTAGGTGCCTACATTCTCTCCCTCTTACTCTAGGCCAACATCAGCCCTCCTTCAGGGAATCCTTTTCCTCTGAAGCCTCATCAGGCACTTTCCAAGCATGGATACGTGGTGAACAGAACCAGCTTCCCAGTTTTCATCATGCAACGAGTATTAACCTAGCAAATTAGTGTTAATGATGAAAACTATTTGCTTTCCCTTATTTTACTAATTTCATCTATTTCAGGAATGTTTTCATCTTTACATAGTCTTTATAATAGTTATAATTCTTCTCTAGTACCTGTGATTATTGCCCCTCTGTCATTTCTAAAGATGTTTATACTACTTTCCTTTATTTTTTCTATATACTTCTGTGAGTTTTTCTGTATCATCAATGATTTTATTATTTTTCCCTGCTTGTATAATAATGCTTATTAGCATTTAAAAATAAAATATAAAACTACAAGAAAATAAAATTATCTGACATTTCTTCAAACTGCAATAACCATTGTGAATATTTTAACATACATGCGATTTAAAATAAATGACAAATCATCTTGTTTTATTGAAACTATTTTTACTTTCCTTGAATTTTTATTCATATCTCTTATCACACTACTGTACGTTTTACTTACTCAATATGTTGACTGCCTTCCCACCCTCACATATTAGCTCAGCAAGTTTAGGAGTTTTTGTATCTTTGATAGGCAGTAGCCTATCTCATATTAAACTAGTGAAAGGTGAGATAATGGGTGTAATGTATGTCTTCTTACTCTAATTTATTGCCTTTTTTTTTTTATTACATGTAACTGTTTACTTCCTCTACTTCTTTACTCCACTGTAAAAATATAAATTATAAAGGTAGGTAATTTCACTTCTTTCTCTATAGAATACACTATGATTCAAAGAGGTTAACAAATTAAATAAAGCAAGTTAATGAAGGTTAGGTATTTTTTAGATACTATTTTTCACCTACAGGTAAAAGTCTAAGCTTGAATCCCATCACCACCACTTAATAGATTTGTGACCTAAATTCCTCTAAGACCTCAGTATCCTCATCTGTAAAATGAAAGTAATAGTAGCTACCTACCAGGGTGGTTGTGAGATTGCATGAGGTGATGTATGTAAAGTGCTTGGCATATTGCCTAGAACATGGGAAGCATTCAACAAGTGTTAGGCTATTACTACTATTATTATTACTTAATAAAAAAATAAAATTTACAAATCTCCCATTATTATATAAAAATTATATAATATGAATAAAAGCTACTTAAACGTTCATTCAACAAATATTTATATATTTTACTCCCTATGTGCCAGGTATAAGATTGGCTAGTAATTTAAATCTCGAGTCATTGAATCCTTTATTATTTAAGACCAGGTTCTCTTCACAACAGTGACTATGAAATGCAATGTAAGAATTTTGATTTTTTTGTCCAAAATGAAAAAAAAAGTATAATCCCAGTATTTGTAGTTTTCAAAAGCCAAGCTAACTCAATGTATTTGTTTCTCCCTTTTTTCTTTTGTGCCCTTATCCTTATCACAAGCTATATAATGCCTGCTATTGATATTTGTCTGATTTAAAGGTTTTACTGGCAAGAATGTGCTTAAAGAGAGCTGTCAGAGAGCTCTCAGATCTTAGTTCTAGCCAGTGTCAACACTAAGGAATTAAGAGCTTGTGTGCCTTCATCATTCTAGATAGCATTTTTCTCAGAACTAGAGGCAAATGGAAAACACTTTTCTTAGTTATGATATACAGCCATCTTATGGGTTCTGCATGCATTGATTTTACCAACTGTGGATTGAAAATAATCCCCCCCAAAAAATGTCTGTACTAAACATGTACTAAACATATGGGAGCATATTTATAGGTTATATGCAAATACTATGCCATTTTGTTTGTTTGTTTGTTTTGTTTTGAGTTGGAGTCTCACTCGGTCGCCCAGACTGGAGTGCACTGGCCGCTCCCGGCCACCGCAGCCTCAAACTGCTGGGCTCTGGCCATCCTTCCGCCTCAGCCTTCCAAGTAGCCGGAATTACAGGCATGCGCTACCACGCCCAGCTGATTTTTTGATTTATTGTAGAGATGAGGTCTCGCTGCCCAGGCGGGTCTCGAACCCGTGGGCTCAGGCAATCCACTCACCTCAGCCTGCCAAAGGAGCGGGATTACAGGCTGAGCCACCGAGCCTGGTTTACTATGCCATTTTATATAAAGGATTAGAGCATCCGTGGACTTTGGCATTCTAGAAACAATCCCCCAGGAATACTGAGGGACAAACTAATACATTACTCTGTTGGGTGTAATTTATCCATTTTTGAGCTACAAGAGAGTTATATCAACTCATCCAACTTTTTTATTTTTAAGATGATAGATTAAGGTGCAGAAATATTAAACCTATACTCCAGACTCTTGGTCTTCAGTTTAGTAGTGTTGATGTTTGCTGATATTTTTATAACAAACTTGGAGATAATGAAAAGAAAGCAAGAAATATTTTTAAATGTTCACATTTTCTCTTAAACACATCAACACAATAATGATCATTTCTGTTCTATGTTTTTCTATACCAGAAATGAAGAATGTTGAAACCTTACAAAGAAATAAAGATTATTTAATACATGTTGGTGGTCTTAGCCCTTCAGTGTCTGAGGTATGCTAAGATTTCTTTTTTCAGCTTCATTTTCAAATTTATTAATTGTCCATGTTAATATTTTTTGGTTTTTTAGCTTTCATAAACTTTTATTTCTCTCCTTTTAGGCTGATTTAAGGTCTCATTTCCAGAAATACCAAGTTTCTGAAATTTCAATTTATGATTCTTCTACTAATTACAGGTATGTTAACCAAATTCAGTCAGTGTGCATTACCTTGTGTCTGCTATTCACCATAGGTACCAGACTTCAGCCATAGTGATGATAAAATAAAAGGCCATTCCTATAGGGATTTCCCAGACTTGTAGAGGAGGTTATATAGACACATAGCTGCAATTATTAGTAGGTGCTGTTCTTAATCACATCTTTCTTTCATTATAATTTGTTAATAGTATATAGGAGAGTTATTGATTTTTGTATACTTCATTTTGTTACATACTTTTCATAGGGGAAAGTAGAGTGCATTAGTTAAGAAAATGGGCTCTAGAAATATGTAACTTTGGTTAAATTCCCAGCTTTGTCAACAACTTTGCATAAATTTGGGCAAGTTACTTAATCTTCCTGTGCCTCAACTTCTTCATCTATAAAGTGAAGATAATAATAATACTTTTATAGCATTGCTGTGCAACTATTATGACTAAAATATGTAAAGCACTAAGAATAAAGCCTAGCATAGTAGGTGCTCAGAAAATTGATATAATTTTATTATTTCTGATTTTAATTACTTTTTAGTTGCAGCTTCTTATATTCTTTAGGTAAATAGCTACCTCATCTACATATACTACTACTGCTATACATATACTACTACTAAAGAGAAATTCATTTTAAAAAAATTTTACTAGGCTCTTTGCCAATCCTTTGCAGTCTTTTTGTCTCTTTATTCTTGTACAATACTATTCTATAAGTAACTGATTATACTTGTATCATTCTTTTTCCCCAAAACAATGTATGTGTTTATGTTACTGTGTATGTTGCTGTCTTCTCTTTTGTGATCTTGCCAGCCCATTCGGAAGTATTAAACAACAATGTTGATAACTTAATGAAAATGCCTTTGTTGTCTTATTAAAAATGATAGCTATATATTTTAGATAGAAACATTTTTATTAAGCAAGGATCCTATTTGTAGTTGGGGTTGAAATTTATTAAAAATAAGTATCTTAAGATGGAATAACTTAAGATTATAAGTTTTAACCCTGTGCACTTGTATATCCCCTCTCAGGACACAGAGGTTACTGGTGATTATCCAGGACAAACTTATGCCAGTGCAAAATTTTCAAAAATATGTTTCCTTTCAAATTACATGAAAAAGCAAATAAAGAGATGGAATATATACTGAGATATGATTGATCATTTGAGAAGTGTTTTTCAGGAATCACAAGTGCGTTCTTCCACATCTTTGAACAGACTGGACAATAAATTAACATATCATTAATGTGGGAGGAAGAAAATGAGACTGCATTGTCTGCTTAAATAGAAAAACAGGTGGAAGATGTCAAGCAAATTACTATTGTACAACATGTATCAATGAACCTGCACTGCATATTGGTGACTGTTTCACATGTTACCACATGTCAGAAAAATATAAGATATAAGATTTTGATTTTTTTCATAAATAAGTTCCTCAATGCCAAGAATTCCATTATAAGCCAAATATTACAATAAATAATTGGTTCCAACTCTATACTATTTAATATGAAGTGATTCATTTTTCACTGTTTTGTTTAAAAGTGCAGTCAAGTTGCTGGTAGATGATCTGCGTGATGTCTCCAAGTGTAAAGGGCTACATTTGACTTATTGATAGGATGTTAATATATTTCATGATATTAAAGTAGTATAATCCTCAGAGTATTTATGCAACTGATTGTTACTATCTTGTTCAATTCTTTCTTTAAACAAAGCTTTGTTTTTTTTCTGACTTGAAGTTTTATACATTCTGTGTGGAAATTTAGAAAATACAGCTAAATAAAAAATACAAGGTTATAACAATTTATCCCTAGTTCCATCGTTCAAAAAAACCTGCTCTTCACAGGATTTGGTATATATCCTTTCATTGACACTGTCTACAGCTAGTGCTTTTTTAAGAATATGTCTTGCCCAACTCTTCTGATTTATATGATTAAAATTCTGGTTAGATTTTCCCAACTATTTTTCTTTTTTGTTTACATATTTTCCTACTTTAAGGTCATAAAGACCTTATATGTTCTGCTAAATGTTTTAAATGTTGCTTTTTACATTTAAACCTTTGAGTCATCTGGAGTTTGTTCTTATATAGTAATGAATTTTAATATCTTTTGGTATGGATAACTAATTGTCCTCAAACCACTAATCTCTACAATTTTATCATATACTAGCTTTGCAAATGTTTACAATAAATTTTAATATAAAATTAATAGGAAATAGTTTATACAAAATGCTATCTTTTATTTCCCATCTTTAATTTGGTTTTTATTTAGCTAGTCTAAGTAGTCTTCCTAATTCCAAGGTAAGTACAGCAACCTTTTTATTTCTAAGAGTAGTTATTCTTGTGAAAAATTTGAGTTAGTAGCTACAAAATTAAGTGTGGATAATTTGAAATCATTAACAAAGAACCTCTTGGTTTTCTGCTTTTGTATCTTAGATATGCATCTCTTGCTTTTAAAAAAAATAGTGATGCAAAGATGGCTGTGAAAGAAATGAATGGAGTAGAAATAAATGGAAAATCAATAAATGTGCGACTTGTTAAAACTCCTGGAGAATATACATCAACACTTTCCTCCAAAAATGGGAATAGAACTAGTTTGAATAATTTGGAGAAAAGCACTAACAAAGAAATCAACTCAACCTTGTCTGTTTCTAAATTGTCCAGAACTAGGCCAAGGCAGCAGGAATCTGAACAAGACAATGAGTTTCTCCCTTCTGAACAGGTTGGTTTTCTTTATAAATCTCTTTAATGGTCTTTGTACATGCTATATTGCATTATGTAGCTTTGTAGAATAAATACAATCTTGAAGTAGAAATGAGAACATTAGTCTGAATTGTTTATAACCTCGGATCTACCTTAACCTTTTGTACAACTCCAGTTGTTCCTAAGAGAAATCTAGATCTTCGTCGATGAACACAGAACTAAAGAGAAACTCATTCTTTTTTATTTTAACTAGGTTCTTTGCCAATCCTTTGCAGTCTTTTTGTCTCTTTGTTCTTGAACAGTACTATTCTCTAAGTAGTTATATTTGTATAATTCTTTTTTTCCACAACTAACCTTATCTATTGATTTTTAAAACCATAAAGTATAGTCATTTTATTTTCATATGCCATCATCTTTACCTCATTAAAGTTTTAAACACCGTGTGGAAAGTGATGGAGTTTGCCTATTTACTCTTCTCTCTCCACTGCTCAGCCAAATTCCTGGAGCCTCATAGGCATTTCACAGATCTTTTTTTAAAAAAATTATATACAGTATAATTTGCTCTTTTTTGGTGTCCTTGACTTTGGATAAATGTATATTGGCAAGAAACAATTACCATAATCAAATACAGAAGAATTCTATCATTCTAAAAAGTTATCTTGTGCTCTAAAATGTTTCTTATTCTTAAAATCTTAACTTTTTGTCAGTGTCATATCAATGGAATTGTACTATTTAACACTATTAGTTTGGTGTCCTTTACTTAATTTAATGCATTTGAAATTGATCCCTGTTGTTGTGTGTATCAGCATTTCATTCCTGCTCATGTTTTGTCCACTTTTATTCAGTTGTTTATTTTCTTATTGTTGAATTTTGGGTTTTTTGTATTTCGGTTGAGTCCTTTTATCAGATAGTGATTTGCAAATAATTTTTCTCAGCCTGTGCCTTGTATTTTCATTCTCTTAACGGTGTCTCTCTCAGAACATGAGTTTTTTATTTTGATGAAGTATAATTTATTATTTTTTTCTTTTATAATTTACATTTTTTGTGTTGTAGCTAAGAAATCTTATCATAACCCAAAGTCACAGAGATTTTGAGTTAGTTTTTGTATATTGTTTCAGTTATGAGTTAAGGTGGGTTTTGTTTGCTTGTATTTGTTTCTGATTTTCACATAGAATAGTTCCAGCATCATTTGTTGAAAAGACTATCCTTTTTCTATTGACTTACCTTTTGGGCAAAAATTAATTGACCATATTTGTGTGGATCTATTTCTAGACAATAACTGTTTCATTTAACTGTTTGTCTAAATTTCTACTCATACTACACTGTCTTGATTACTGTAGCTATATAATAAGTTTTGAAATTAAGTTTAGGAATGAGTCTTCTAACTTTGTTCTTTTTCAAAATTTTTGTGGCTATTCTAGTTAGGCTTGTTGTTTAAATTTTATAACCTATCTTAGTTATCCATGAAAAAAATTCAGGTTGGATTTTTATTGACATTACTTTGAATCTATCGATCATCACAAATCCTTTTTAAATAAATGGATGAATGAATAAATATTTACTGAATAATGAATCTAAATTTTCCCCTTAGTAAGATAAAATAATCTCTTCTCTATGCTTTATCCAATCCTTTCCTAATTCCTGGAGTTATCCCATTCCTTTTCTATACTATTTGCAACTCTGTTTCCACTCACAGACTTTTGTCTCTCCTTGCAGTCAGGTATAGCCTTTCCAAATCCTGACAGGATTTTCACTAGACTTAGCATTCCTTTATAATTATTTAAAATTATTCTTGGCTGGGCACGGTGGAGTAAGCCTGTAATCCCAGCACTTTGTGGAGATTACCTGAGCCCACGAGTTCAAGAACAGCCTGCAACTCTGCGAGACTTCATCTCTACAATAAATCAAAAAATTAGCCAGGCATGGTAGTATGTGCCTGTAGTTCCAGCTACTTGGAAGGCTGAGGCAGAAGGATCGCCTGAGCCCAGCAGGTTAATGCTGGGGTGGCCGTGAGCATGCTACTGCACTCCAGCCTGGGCGATGGAGTGAGACTCCACCTCAAAAATAAATTATTCTTATTTGCCCTGTGTTTTTATTGCCAAACTTCTCAGTGAAGTAGTTTATATCCATTTCCATTTCTTTGCTTCTCTCCTTTGTCTTAATAATCTGACTTCAGTGTCTAAAATTTTACTTAAACTGTTCCTTTAACAGTCACTAGTGACCTTTTATTGGTCTTTTCCCCATCCACCTTCTTCTTGACTACTTGGCCTTTTTTAACAGTGGTTATTCCTTCCTTATAACTCTTTTTCTTTAATCTCAATGACACTTCATGTTTAGGATGGATTTTGTGGTATACAGCTTCAATCCATAGTAGGAAGGAAGGAAACAAAGTACCTCTGGCTACGTGGCAACCTGTACTGGAGGTTTGGGAACTGTGACTCTTCCTTTCATCTCTCATGTAGTGCATCTTGCCTCTACATTCCGGTATGCTCATTCTCCTGCTCTCTGTTTTTCTCTGCTCATGATTGCTTTCTTCCCCCATTTGGCTTTGTTTTGCTTAATTTTAACTCTACTATGTTTTCATTTCAAGCCCTGTGATTTGATGAATTTGTTTGTTTCATATTCCAATTTCACATTCTTTAGGCAGGAAATGTAATTTATCCAGTCTGTGATTTTAGTGTTTATTAGCTTAGAAGATAACACCCTTGATCCTGTTAGCTGTGGCAGTGGGCATGGGGTTGGCAGAAGGAAGGTATAACGAAGACCTTCTGGGCTATTGGTAGGAATATGTTTATCTTAGAGTATGTGGATAGGGAAGCCCTGTTGCCATCTCTGTTAAACTATTCTTCAAGTTCTCTTATCTTTCTAGTTTTTTCTTCTTCCCTTTTTCTCAGATTCTCAAAATTCTCTTCATTTACTTAGAAAATATTTAGTCTACAATGAGAGGCAGAATCATGAAGATTAAGAACAACTCTTACTTAGCTCTGCCACCTACTCATCATGTGACTCTGGGAAAGCTACCTAACCTTTCTGTGTCTGAGCTTCCTTATCTTAGAATGGTAGTGAGTTCCTACCTCACAAATGTTAAGAAGCTTAAATGAGTTTACTACATAAAAAAATTTTAAAATAGTTCCTGGCCTGAAGAATGTACTCAGTAAATATTAGCTGTTGTTGTTGTTATTATTTACCAGTAATTTGACATTTTCTTGGAGAGCTCATGCTTTCTGTAGTTTCAGCTGTCACTTAGAACTATTGTATCTTAAACTTTTCATTTACTTATTCAAGTTATTACTTACCAACTGTGTGTACATTTCTAGGCACTGGAAAAACAATAGTGAACAAAACAGAAAAAACGTGTGTTCTTATGGAGCTTAAATCTAGTGGGGGCAGTAAGGCAATAAGTAAAAGATGTAATATTCTGATGTGACAGATCTAATATTTTATGTATCTTGCCCTAACTTTTCATCCAGCCTTTAAAATATGAATCTTTCCTTTGTTGAACTTTTATGGTATTTTCAGTGGTTTCCTTAAATTTGTAGCCTACTTGTATGGTTAATAGTAACTAGTTGATCTTCACAAATGGAGGGGGCTCTGTATTTTTGTTTTTTGTATTTTTTAAGAAGGCAGGATTTATTGAGAGGATAGAAAAGCTCCCACAGTGGGAGGGGACCCAAAGGGGTTGCCCTGGCTCTGTTTTATGTAACCAATTTTCTTCCCTTAGTATATGGTGCACTTCTGGGCACATACTTTTTGTTCATTACATGCGGTATTTAGTAAATAAGTTGTAGAATATTTCTGATTACTGTATAGACTAGCCTTTCTCAGTCAAGTTGGCCAGGAGAATTAAGCCTTAATGCCCTAAGCCTAAGACATTCACTTTATTTAAGGAATTAACACCTCCTGTACATCTGTAATGGAACTGGTTAGGTCCTATCTTTGTGAGAATTGAGAAAGTAGTTATACTATTTTCTGTGTTCGGTGGATCAGAAGAAGAATCCTGATTGAGAAAGGCTGATTTAGATATAGTATCACTGCTGTAAGAAAAACATGTTGAGCATGTTTCTTTTTTTAATATATGGCCCTGAACACAACTTGAGTAATTATACTTGGTACAAATAATTCACAGTTAATTTTTTTTAGGAATTTGTTTACTATTTATAATTTTAAATATTATTTTCATTGAATAAGCTGTATTGTCTTAATGTAATGGTCTTTACTGATTTTAAGAAAATTTTTTAAATGTTTATTTAGGGTATCAAGAAGAATTGTAAACAGATCGAATCTGCTAAATTATTACCTGATACCCCTATTCAGTTCATACCTCCAAACACATTGAATCATCGTAGCTTTACCAAGATCATGAAGAGACTGATTGAACTACATCCAGAAGTCAGCAGGTAATAACTAAAATTATTTGTTAACTGGTTTTAAACTTTTGATGTAAAAATATGATTTAATTCAATAACTTAACTATATTCAGAATGTGTTACTGTGGAAAGAACAGATGCTTATGTACATTTTTCTTTTGTATAGAGATCATATTATAGATGCTCTTCAGAAAGTGAGAATTAATCATAAAGGTTTCCTGACTGGCTTATCTATTAATACTATTGTGAAAATGACTTCATCTGCTCTAGAAAACTCTACTTCCAGTTAGGAATAAAAGAAGCAATAAAGAGGTAAAGCAATCATATTCTTTTATATTTAAATATTACTTTAACATTTTAAGTTATTTTTACATAAAAAGAATAACATTAAATTAAAAATAATAATATAAAATTTTAAAACATAGTATATCAGTTAACTATTAATGCAAAAAAACCGATTGCCCCCAATTTTTTTTTTTTTTTTGAGTTGGAGTCTCACTCTGTTGCCCAGACTGGAGTGCAGTGGCCACTACTGGCCACTGCAGCCTCGACCCACTGGGCTCCGGCGATCCTTCCGCTTCAGCCTTCTGAGTAGCCAGAATTACAGGCACGCACTACCACGCCAGCTGATTTTATGATTTATTGTAGAGATGAGGTCTCGCCAAGTTGCCCAGGCGGGTCTTGAACCCGTGGGCTCAGGCAGTCCGCTCACCTCAGCCTCCCAAAGCGTGGAATTACAGGCTGAGCCACCGAACCCGGCTTACCCCAAAATTGATTGGCTTAAACAACATTCATCATTTCACAGTTTGCAAGTTAGGATTCAGGAGTGCCTTAACTGGGTGGTCTTTCCTGTTGCAATTTGTTGGCATGGACTTTAGTCATTCAGAGGCTTAACTGAGACTGGAGGATCTGCTTCTAAGATGACTCATACATTGTTGGTAAGAGGCCTCAATTCTTTACCAAGTCTCCATTTTTTTAACAACACATACTCACTTGGTGTCTGTTTCACATTTTGGTGATTAACACAGTGTTTCAAATTTTTTAGTTCTATCTGTTATGGTGATCTGTAATCAGTTATCTTTGTTACTTTTGTTACAATTTGTGCAGGTCTTCACAAACTGCACCTATATAAGACAGCCAACTTAATAAATGTGTATGTTCTGACTGCTCCACTGACCAACTGTTGCCCTGTCTCTCCCTCTCTTTGGGCCTCCCTGTTCCCTGAGACACAACAATATTGATTGAAATTAGATCAATTGATATCCCTACAATGGCCTCTAAGTGATCAAGTGAAAGAGAAGAGTCATATGTCTCTCACTTTAAATGAAAAGCTAGAAATGATTAAGCCTATTGAGGAAAGCATGTCAAAAGCTGAGATGGGGTCAAAATCTGGGCCTTTTGTGCTGGTTAGCCAAGTTGTGAGTGCATAGGAAAAGTTATTGAAGGAAATTAAAAGTGCTACTCCAGTGAACACACAAATGATAGCAAAGCAAAATATCTTTATTGCTTTGTGGAGAAAGTTTTAGTGGTCTAGATAGAAGATCAAACCAGCTATAACATTCCTTTAGACCAAAGCCTAATCCAGAGCAAGGACATCTCTTCAGTTCTTTGAAGGCACTGAGTGAGGTGAGGAAGCTGCAGAAGAAATGTTTGAAGCTAACAGCGGTTAGTCTATGAAGTTGAAAGAAAGCAGCTATCTCCAGAATATAAAATTGCAATGTGAAGCAGCAAGTGCTGATGTAGAATCCTCAGCAGGATATCCAGAAGTTTAGCTAAGACAATTAATGAAGGTGACTACAGTAAACAACAGATTTTCAATTTATAAGAAGATGGCGCCGGGCTCAGTGGCTCAGCCTGTAATCCCACGCTTTGGGAGGCTGAGGTGAGTGGATTGCCTAAGGCCCCGGCGTTTGAGACCCGCCTGGGCAACTTGGCGAGACCTCATCTCTACAATAAATCAAAAAATCAGTCGGGCATGGTTGCGCGTGCCTGTAATTTCCGGCTACTCGGAAGACTGAGGCGGAAGGATTGCTGGAGCTCAGCAAGTCGAGGCTGCAGTGGCCGGGAGCAACCACTACACTCCAGTCTGGGTGACAGAGTGAGACTCCAACTCAAAAAAAAAAAAGAAGATGGCATCTAAGGCTTTCACAACTAGAGAGGGAAAATCAATGCCTAGTTTTAAAGGTCAAGCTGGCTCTCTTGTTAGAAGGTAATACAACCAGTGAATTTCAGTTGAAGCCAGTGTTCATTTATCATTCTGAAAATCCTAGGCCCTTAGAAATTATGGTAAATGTATTCTGCTTGTGCTCTATAAATAGAACAACAAAGCCTAGGTGACAGCACATCTGTTGATAGCATGATTTACTGAATATTTTAAGCACACTGTTGAGACCTACTGCTCAGTAAAAAAGATTCCTTTCAAAATATTTCTGCTCACTGACAATGCAGCTAGTCACCCATGAACTCGAATGGAGATGTACAAGGAGATTAATGTTTTTGTGCCTGATAGCACAACATCCATCATGCAACCCATGGGTCAAGGAATAATTTTAACTTTCAAGTGTTATTTAAGAAATAAATTTCATAAGGCTATAGCTGCTATAGCTGCTTCTCTGATGGATCTGGGCAACGTAAATTGAAAACTTTCTGGAAAGTATTTGCCATTCTAGATACCATTAAGAATATTCATAATTCATGGGAGGTGTTATGTAAAAATATCAGCATTCACAGGAGTTTGGAAGAAGTTGATTCCAACCCATGGATGACTTTGAGGAATTCAGGACTGCAATGGAGGAAGTAACTACAAATGTGGAAAAACAAGACAGTTAGAAATAGAAGTGGAGTCTGAAGATGTGGCTGAATTGTTGCAATCTCATGATAAAACTTGAATGGATAAGAAGTTGCTTCCTAAGCCGAGCTCAGTGGCTCAGCCTGTAATCTCGCACCTTTGGGAGGCTGAGGTGAGTAGATTGCCTGAGCCCGCGGGTTCGAGACCTGCCTGGGCAGTGAGACCTCATCTCTACAATAAAATTTTTAAAAAATTAGCTGGACGTGGTAGCGCGCACCTGTAATTCCGGCTACTTGGAAGGCTGAGGCGGAAGGATCGCCGGGGCCCAGCAGGTAGAGGCTGTGGTGGCCGGGAGCAGCCACTGCACTCCAGTCTGGGCGACTGAGTGAGACTCCAACTCAAAAAAGAGAAAAAGAAAATAAGCCTACAATATTTCCAAGGTTACACCTGTATAACCCAATAGCTGTGTGACTGGAGTTTTTCTAATAGCTGTGTGGAGAAATTCTAATAGCTGTGTGACTGAAGTTTTCACAAAAAAGGAGAGGAGAGAGAAAATAGAGCAGATACAATATTTGAAAAAAATTATGGCTAAAATACTTTGAAAATAATGACAATTTCAGGACACAAATTCAATAAAACTCTTTTCAGATCCTGAACAGGAAAAATGAGACCCAAATACATCAAAGAAAAACTGCTTGAAAAATCAAAGTCAGAAAGGAAATTTACAAAGCAACTGGAGGGAAAAAGTTTACCTTCAAAGTGCAACAATTAGACTGACAGCTGATTCTTAACAGAAGCCATCAAATCATTCTACAAACCTAGCCAGGAAAAGAGCCTTCAAGAATAAATGTAAAATAGATAACTGTCATGTAAAAACAAAGATAAGTTTTTACTTTAGAAGAGGACTCACCCGAAAGAAAATATTAGAGTGTTCTCTAGGGAAAAAGTTATTTGAAATGAAAGGATAACTGGGAACGATGGCTCACGCCTATAATCTCAACATTTGGGAGGCCAAGGTGAGAGGATTGCCTGAACCCACGTGCAACTTGGTAAGAGCTCATCTCTACAATAAATCAAAAAAATTAGATGAGCATGGTGGCGCATGCCTGTAGTTCCAGTTACTTGGAAGGCTTGCCTGAGCCCAGTAGATCAAGGCTGCAGTGGCCGTGAGCGTGCCACTGCACTCTAGCCTGGGTGACAGAATAAGACTCCAACTCAAAAAAAAAAAAAGAAATGATAGGTTAGAGGTGCGGGAGGAATGAAAATAAAAAAGAATAATTATGTGGTATATCTCAGTGTATAAGGTTAGAACAAATTATGTTTTATAGGGTCTAATTAAAATACATGAATACTAGTGCTTAAGTTGAGAAGGAATTAAACCTTATTATTCTAAGCACCTTGCAGTTTGGGAAGAGAGTAAAGTGTCCTATGTTGGGAGTCCCCAAGAGAATCCTAAGCTCAGTTATTTGCTACAAGGACTCACATGACTCAGTATATAATTGTACTAGTGGATATGATTTATTACAGCAGCCAAATACAAAGCAAAATCAGCAAAGGGAAAACAAGTTTCTAAAGAGTCCTTTCCCAGTGTGTGACTGAAGTCACACAGGATGTGCTTAATTCCTTCAGTAGTGAATTGTGACAACATCTATGAAATGTTGACTACCAGGGAAGCTTATTAAAGACTCAATGCCCAAAGATTTTATTGGGGGTTTGTCATGTAGGTGCCCTCTGCCTAGCACCTACCAAAGGTCTTTGTAAGGGTAGTAATCTCAGGCCTGCAATGTAACTCTCTTTTTTACACATGTGCTGGTTGATATCAAACTTTGATAAGCAAAGAATGCATGTTGTATGTCTGGGGACAACTACTAAAAGGACAGTTTTAAAAAGCATATAAAAAATGAAGTTGGACCTTTACCTTACATTATCTTTAAAAATTAGTCTGGATGCAGTGACTCAAGCCCGTAATCCCAGCACTTTGGGAGACCAAGGTGAGAGGATTGCCTGAGCCCAGGTTCGAGACCAGCCTGGGCAACATGGTGATACCTCGTCTCTACAATAAATCAAAAAATTAGCCAGGTGTTGTAGTGCATTCCTGTAGTTCCAGCTACTTGGAAGGCTGAGGCAGGAGGATCGTCGGAGCCCAGCAGGTTGACACTGGGTTGACCGTGAGTGTGCCACTGTACTCCAGCCTGGGCGATAGAGTAAGACTCCAACTCAAAAAAAAAAAATTAGCTCAAAATGAATCAAAGACATACACATAAGTGCTAAAATTATAAGATTCTTAGAAGAAAACAGTGGAAAACCTTCATAGCACTGGGTTTTGCAGTGATTTCTTGGATATGACACCCAAAGCACAGGCAACAAAGGAAAAGATAAATAACATCTTCTTTTTTTGAGTTGGAGTCTCACACTGTCACCCAGACTGGAGTGCAGTGACTGCTCCCAGCCACCGCAGCCTCGACCTGCTGGGCTCCTGCGATCCTTCCACCTCAGCCTTCCAAGTAGCTGGAACTATAGGCACATGCTACCATGCCC